GCTGAGGCCAGAGGGTGGAATTCGGGACTCCCACCCCAAATCCTGCCCTCTGAGGGCCTTCTCACACTGCCCCACCACACACTGGCCCACCTCCTTCTCCGTGGCCCCTGACCTTGGTCTGTTGGGAACCACCACAGCGTTTCTTGCTTCAAACGGTCCCCCATCATTCAGGGACTCTGGGCATCTTAATGTCAATTTTTCCTCTTATAAACGGGTCTTTACTCTTTACCCTCAGGCCACAGGAATGATCCCAGGAGGTGATGCGTCTCTGCAGCAGGGAACAGGGGAGCCTTATTTTGTACTTTCCCCTGGAGCTCCGCAACAGGAGTGTGAGCGATACTACTTTAAACGTACATAACTTTTTCTCGGGCAGTAACAGCTATCCAGGCAGCCTGCTTTGCTAGCCCAGAAGGGAGACCCTTATACAGAAGTCACAGCGCCCTGAGGCTCTTGGAGTAGGAATGGTGTCTCTCAATTCCAGCGACATCTCCGGGGCCTAGCAAGATGCTGGCACATCCCAGGTGTTCAGTAAACATGCCTCCTGTAACCCTGGGGACTGGCTCAGAATAACCAGCCACTGCTCTGCAGGACATCTCCCTGGTTAGTGATAAATCCTGCACACATGGCCTTCCAGGGCCTGCAAAACCGGCTTGCCAGGTACTACGGCCTCTCTCTCTCCTTGCTCATGGTGTTCTCTCATTTGCTGCCTCAAGAGGTAGAGACTTAGTCTCATCTGGGAACGAGGGTTAGATAGAATATCTATTTCCAGAGAATAAATACTTTGGAGCGTTCAGATGCCCCGATTCTCAGCAGTTCCACATCAAAGGCGTGATGAGTGCCCATATGAAGATGGAAACATGTTTGGGTTGCCCAAGCACACAGTGTTCATGTACCTGTGGCTCCTGCACTCAGAAAATGTCTGCTGAATAAATGAGTGCGTGGCTACATGGGTGCCTTTGACAATGAGGCAGGGCCTCCTGTGGGGCCTGCCCTATCCCTGCTCTGGCCACACAGATGCCCCCTTGCAGACAGGGAAGGACACTGTGTCCTTGAGATGTGGGGGGCCAGGCCCACCCCCCACACTGGCTTGGTGCCCTGGAGCACCTGTGGGCAAGGATGACAGAGCATAGCTGGGAGGTCGCTTCCCCGCGGTTTCAGCGTCAATTGAGAACTGTAAAACAGTCAACTTCTGACCCATAAGCCATTTCTCAGACCCCATTTTAGGAATCAACCTGAAGAAGAACAAATGTTGCACATTTAAAGAGTTTATAAATGTATCACTGGGGAAAAATTAGAGCAACTTTAAGTTTAACCTTACGGGACTGGGCAAGGACTGTGGGGCTGCTGGCTGTGATATCACGGGAAACTTTAAGTTGTGATGTTATGTAAATATTGAGTGAAAGCATTTCTATATATAGTATGGTGGTAAGTAAATTAAAAAGAGACAACCAGTGCACAGAAAAAAGTTGGAAAGGAAACACTAAAAAGTTACTAGCTGTCTTTGGGGTGGGGCGGTTTCTTAAAAATGTCGGATCTGTTGTGTCCTTTGGACTGTTTTTTTAAAAAAATAAATATATCTTTATTGATTTCAGAGAGAGGAAAGGAGAGGGAGAGAGAGAGATAGAAACATCAATGATGAGAGAGTCACTGATTGGCTGCTTCCTGCACATCCCTGACTGGGGATCGTGCCCGAAACCCGGTACGTGCCCCGANTCCCTGACTGGGGATCGAGCCCGAAACCCGGTACGTGCCCCGACCGGGAATCGAACCCCGATCACCTGGATCCTAGGTCGATGCTCAACCGCTGAGCCACGCCTGGCTGGGCTGTACTGTTTTGAAGCATGTGGTTCAGATACCAGCTCTGGGGGAGCCCAGCTCCGAGCTGCTTGTACGCCTGGGAGCATGGCTTCCCCTTTCTGTCCTTGGCTCCTCGTGGACACACCACCTCCCCGTAAACTAACGTATACTGGTCAGCATGAGTGAATGTTCACTGTTACCTTAGAGCAGCACAAACATAAAAAGCTGTAATAAGAGAACTGCAAGGACATGGGGAGAGGGGAGAACAACTGCTGACAGTAACAGAGCTTCCCTCTGGGGTGAAGAAAATGTCTGGAATCAGAGTGGAGATGGCTGCACAGCCGTGTACTTCTCAACGGTGAATCCCATGGTACGTGCATTGTGTCTCAATTTAACAAACGGAAAAAAGGTAAAGGGAAATCACGAAGGGTGGTAACTGGGGCTCACTCCAACGAGAACAAGGACTGAGGACAATTTAAAGCACCTCACTCAAGTAGATGCTCAGTGAAACGTGTCTCTTCCTTCTTGGCTGTTTAGCTCCCGGCTGTGCCTCACTGACCCTGTTAGCTCTGGCACCTTCCTGGGACCATCTCAGGAGCAGAGAGAGGGAGGGGCCGTCAGCCAAGACACAGGGAGAGAAGACTCTCTGCTGACTTTCTAAGCCACCAATGGCCGGGGGCGGAGGGAGGGGGCGCAGAAGGAAGGAGGCAGGCAGCCAGCACTGACCACAGGGCACAGTCCAGTCAAACCCCCACGAGAGGAGCACTCACCCAGGAAGCCCTCCTCATCGACAATGATGGTGTAATCCTCTGGTGTTTCGGTCAGACTGAAGAACTTGCACCTGGGTGGATGGACAAACAAAGGATATCGTATTAGTTCTGCATTAGTCCTACACTGTGGTGACCCAGATGACTTGGTTTACCCAGAGCTCGGACTCCAGGCTGGTGGTGACCTCCAGTGAGCTGCTTATTTCTCTCTGCACTCTCCCCAGTTCTGACTCAGGAGGTCTCAGAGGGGCCTAGAGATGTTGATTGCACACCCCAATCTTTGGGGACCCCTGAATCGGTGAGCCTCTAAGATCCTGCATTAGGCCCATGGATTTCATATCCCACTTTTTCAGGGAGGAAGTGGCTGAAGGGCAGCTCTGGCCAGGGTCATGCAAATGAACTTTTTTCCATGGGCTCCCCATGTTCTGACCTCTAAGCCTCTGTCACTGTCCCTCTATCCCCACTGTCCTGGCCCCTTCCTCACCAACTAGAGAGTTCCCACTGTCATTTAAGTCCTAATTCACATCACCTAAATGACAGCCCAGCCTTCAGGGTACTTTTCTGCCCTGCACGAGAGGGGTGTGGTTATCTGTGCCGGTTTTGGGACAAAGAACCCTGAACTGCCACATGTTGCCTTTGGTAATACTGCTTAGCCTGGGGTGTATCCTGCTTGTCCCTGTCCCTCCTAAAAGACCATCAATTTCCCAAGGCCAGGAACTAGCAATCACTCTGTCTCTCTTTATCTCATTCCTGCTGGTCTTGGCCCTAAGCACGCGCTTGGTGCCTGGCAGACACGCTGGGCTCCATGTCCAGGCTTTCCAT